CCACTAGACAATATCCAGCTGGACAGAAACAGACCCCACTCGCTGGCCTGTCTCTATCTATAACTATATATGGGAAATTTGCTTTTATCGGCGTACTGATCATCACAATGGATAGCTGTACGTGGGGAGCTTAACAGTTCGATACGCCACGGAAATCGTTCTAGCAGTATTTGCCAGAGAATAACACGAAAAACATTGTTTATCAAGAGTCTTTGAAACGAAAAGTCAAACCCATTCGTACATGCTGCTTATATAACAATAGCTTTTTTGTCATTACTCATATTTACTGCTCAGAGGTGCTGTGTCGCCCCCCCCCCCCTGGATACTGCGGGAACGTACCTGGCTTACGGTGGGTTATACCGGAACGTACCGCTGGTACTATCTAATATGGCCGGACCGTACCTCGCCTACTACCACTAAGCGAGTCTCAGGAGTCGCCTACGCCTTCTTCCCTAACCCCAACGCCGGAACTCCTAACCCCTAACATATCAAATAGGCACCAGGGCTACGTTCGGTTATAAAACCCCTGGGGGGAATAGACCCCTATGAGCCATATTAGCTATTAATATTATGTCTCAGGTGTTCTAAGTTGGGTTGTGCCTGTCATATAAATGTCATACGTAACAGTTTTTCCCGCATCTTATTAATCTATTTAGACCGATTTCTAAATATTTGATATTGGTGCAATGTCATTGTCGATGTTTACCAATGTTCCTACTGTGTCCCTTTATTAGTATAGTAGTATTGAATTAGTAGCACGCATTTTTACCCAGCGCAGCGGCTACCCGCCAGGCTAGTGTACCATAAACTACAGCGTTATATTGGCTGCCTGATCGTATAAATTACATGTGACGTATTTCATTTAGAAGTAATGAAAACATGACTAGATTCTGTTGATTGCACGCACGTAATCACACACACACGCGCGCGTACAACACACACCATACGCGCGCTGACACACTCGAACACACACACACACACACACACACACAACACCACACAACACACCACACGACACACACATACACACACACACACACACCACCACACACACATCACACACACAACATACATACGCCGCACACACACATACGCGCGCAACAACACACATACGCACGCACATTACATACGGCGCGCGCATTACACATACGCCGCGCGCACATCATACATACGCGCGTGCACATACATTACGCCATACGCGCGCGCACATACATACGCGCGCACACACACATACGCGCGCACACACACACATACGAGCGCTGACACACTCGCATACACACGCGCGCACACACACACACGCGCGCACACGCACACGCATACACAACACACACACACACATATACGCACTGACTCATTCTCTCACACATACATACGCGCGCGCATACATACGCGCGCGCAGACACATACAAGCGCTGACACACGCGCACACACATATATACGCACTGACTCACTCTCTCACTCACACGCACACGCACATACACGCGTACGGGCGCACGCACCCCACAACAAAAACATTCGAACATACACCAAGTTATACTTTAGCACTAAGTACTTTTTGTCTTTTTATTTAGTAATTTATTCATCCAATGATATGTTCATTGGTAAAAATGACAACATTAGCTTGCAAGAACATACACCATCAGTGCAGTAAAAAGTGCCACACCAATCTTTCCTAATTTGCATACAGCCAATCAGCGCTTATGTTTTCATTCATACGTGTCTATTGGTCGAATCCTACAAAGATAAAGATAGGCTACAGAAACAATATTTAAAATTTCATAATATAAAAACTTTATTACAATTCCACTATAAAACCTATAGTGTTAACCCTTTAGGTGCCAAAGCGCCCTACACTACAGTTTGTGTCAAAAATAATTGTCACCATGGTTTTGGGCGCTAAGTTACAATCTGTCCAGAAAGCATCCAGAAATAACTTGTCACCATATTTCAGCAAACTTATAAATAATCGAATACTTATAAATAATCGATACTTTTGTCATGTTTGTCACTACAAATGGCACACAATAGCGAATTGCGTGCCGCCATTGTTGCTTCGAGGAAGTCGAGTGAATGGAGTGCGCTGATTGGCTGTAAGCAAATTAGGAAAGATTGGTGTCCGAAACTCTCGTGGGGAAAAAAATTTCGCGTGCGGGGGAAAGGGGTGCGCTGCTAATAACTAAATAAGCTTAGCTAATAATCGTAAATAACCATAACGGGATTTTTTTTGGTCACTTACCCGTGAAAGCCTCGTCTCAGACCCACTACAGAGTTCAATTGCGCCCGTCGCTCATCATTACACAGTTGATTCATGAATTTTTGCCCCCCCCCTCCGAATTTGCTCAACCTACGGCCCTGCATAGCTACTTTTTGCTCAGATATATTTATGGATCAGTGACAAGTTCCATAAGGATTGGTGTCCCCGATACAATACTTTGGTGTATTAATTAATATAATACCAGATTTTCCACATTGTACGCGGCTTATGGACAGCAGAGGCCCTACATCAGAACCACTCTCCTCTAATTCGCTTCGGATCTTTGACTCTACATCTCTCCCTCGTCTTTTCCATACATGTCTTCTATAAAATATGTCAGGTCTTGAGCAATGATGTCACAGAATCGAAGCAAAGCTACATTTGTCAGGGCTGCGTGCATACCGCCTCACCCTGTTTCTTTACCCTGTGGCTGTAAGCTGCCTGTATTTGCCGTATTGGGAAATACGGTC